ATGACCTGAGCTGAAGGCAGTCGCTTAACCAACTGAGCCACCAAGGCGCCCCGCATTTTGTAAATTTAAGATGTACTGCTCTCACTCTTTCATTTTTAAGAAGTATGCAGCTTCAGCTGTGAGTTATTTAGAACAGTGACTCAAAACATTTAAGTGGATAGATTTTGGAGGGACTACTGATTTTGTGGTTTATTTCCGATTTTTGTTGTATTGAAGTTAGAGAAGTTTTAGAATTTATTGAATTCTTCTTTGTGACTTAAATCTTGGCTGATTTTTATGAATGTTTCTGGGTGCTTAAAAAGAATGTATTTTTGGGGTGCCTGGGTGGCTCAGATGGTTAAGTGCTGCCTTCGGCTCCGGTCATGATCTCAGGGTCTTGGGATTGAGCCCCGCGTCGGGCTCCCTGCTCAGCAGGAAGCCTGCTTCTCCCTCTCCTTCTACTGCTCCCCCCCGTTTGTACTCTCTCACTTTCTCTGTCGAATAAATAGATAAAATCGTAAAAAAAAAGAATTTTTTTTGCTATCTATTGATTACAAATTTACTTAAATTTGTCAGTTGTATTTTTAGATATTCTATATGCTTTCTTTTATTTTGTTCTGTTTGCTCTGTCATTTTTTTTTTACATGTCTCCCACTGTGTGTGTGTTCATATTTTCCTTACTGTTCTTTTAGTCTCCTTGATATATTTCCAAACTATATTGTTAGGCTCATGTAGTTTTACGATTGTTTTATAATCTTGGTGGATTATACCTTTTATCAATATCAAATATCCCTCTTTGTATTGTTTAATGCCTTTCACCTGGAATTTTATTTCTTCTGATGTTGTTATTACTACACCTATTTTTTTTTTTTTGGAAGCTTTGTCTGGTATTCTTTTTCCATTCCTCTATTTTTCAATTCCTTTATTTTACTCTATTATAAACAGGCTACAGCCAGACTTCTTAAAGCCAACATTAATCTATCTTTTAATAGAGAAATTGAATTTTTAGTGATTAATTTTTGTTTTTTATTCCCGCCATCTTGTTTTATTTTCTAATTTTCTTTTCCTCCCTCTCCCCCACCTTCCTTTTGTCTTTCCTTCCTTTTGCAGAATTGCTAAGGTTTTCCCTTGCTGTTTTTTTTTTTCCCATCTAGTGATTTGGAATGTACATATTCCATTTCTGTTTCTCTAGTGGTTGACCTTCAAATATTTAACATATCTATTTACACACTTTCCTCTGGCTGTGTATAAAGTTGAATGGTACCTCTTTCCTCTCCATAAACAAGGGAAGAATGTCAGCACACTTTGATGTTTCTCATTCTTCTTACCTTGTTGAGAGTGTAAGAAATTTCACTTCCAAATTGCTATTAAGGTTTTGGACATTTTGCTTTAACAGTTATTATTTTTTATTAAAAAATTAATTACAAAAGTTTTCAACCATATACAAAAGTAGAAAGTACAAAGAAACCCCATGTACCCATCACCCAATCTTAACAACCATTAATATTTTGTTGTGTGTGTTTCATCTATCTCCCCAACAATCCCCTTCTCCCCTTTTAGCTGAAGTATTTTATTTATTTTGTTTTATTTTATTTTATTTTATTTTATTCTTTTGCACTCTCACCTTTTAAAAAAATTGAAAGAGGAGGGGCACCTGGGTAACTCAGTTGGTTAAGCATCCAACTCTTGATTTTAGCTCATGTCATGATCTCAGGATCCTGAGATGGAGCCTGAGCCTGAGCCCAGTGTGGGGCCTAGCACGGGGCTCCCTCCTCAGGGGGGAGTCTGCTTCTCTCCTTCTCCCTCTGCCCCTCCCCTTGCACACACGCTCTCTCCCTCTCTCTCTAAAATGAATAAATAAATCTTTTTTAAAAAATTGAGAATTGACACACAATGTTACATTAGTTTCAGGTGTACAACATAGTGATTCAACAAATCTATACATTATGCTCTGCTCACCATGAGTGTAGCTGCCATCTGTCACCATACAACAGTATTACAGTATCACTGACTATATTCCCTATTCTGTATCTTTTATCTCCATGATGGAATATTTTATTTTTTTTAATTTTTTTTAAAGATTTTATTTATTTGACAGAGAGAGACACAGCAAGAGAGGGAACACAAGCAGGGGGAGTGGGAGAGGGAGAAGCAGGCTTCCCGTGGAGCGGGGAGCCCGATGCGGGGCTAGATCCCAGGACCCTGGGATCATGACCTGAGCTGAAGGCAGATGCTTAACGACTGAGCCACCCAGGCGCCCCCATGATGGAATACTTTAAAGCAAATCCCACACCTCATGTAATATCATTATATCAGCCCTAAATACTTCAATATGCATCTCAAAAATAAAGCAATACATTTTACACAACCACAAAGTAATTATTATACTTAAAAATTAGCAATAATTATTTAATAACTAATACCACCCTTAACAATTATTTAGACTTAATATAAGGTTTGTGATTTCTTTGCTCATAACTATAAACTTTATGGTTTCTTTACTAATATCATTACTCTGTTCATTGAATTTCTTAGATTAATTTTTCATTCTTTAGAAGTACATCCTTGTGTAGTTGTTTGAGAGGTTTATGCAAGGGAGTAAACTTTCTGGGTTCTTACACTTTTGGAATCAATTTTGCTTTGTTACTTGAATGCTAATTAGGCTGTATTACAGGCATCTTGGTTCAAAAATATGTTTTCTTCATAATATTGCATACATTATTTGTCTTCTAGTATGTACTTTTGCTATTGAGAAGTCTAATGAAAATTGGTATTTTTGAAAATAATTCACTTTTTTCTCTTTGGATGCTTCTAGGATATTTTCTTTATTCTTTGTGTTCTAAAACTTCCTTATACTGTGTCTGATGAAGGGACTTTTTGACAAACCTATTCTGCACTTAGTAGGCCATTTCAACCTGAAGGCTCATATCTTTATTTGAAATTTTCTTTGATCATTCCTTGATTTCATTCTCTCCATTCATTCTGTTGTTTTTACTTGAATTTGTATTAGAAAGATGGGATTTTCAGCTCTACCCTCCATGTGTTAACTTTTATTTTATATTTTCAATCTTTCTGTCCTTTTGGCTGTGTACTGAGAGAACCCTAGATTTGATCCTTTAGCTCATTATTTCATTCTTTAGCTGTGCCCATTTTCTGAATATTTCAACAAGGATGTTTTTCTGAGTTCCCTCTTTAATTTGTTCTTAATAATAATGACTTTTTCTCTGCCTCCTGCTTTTTAATTCAACAGATATGCTCTGCAACCTCTCTAAAGATATGAATTATATTTATTTTCAAGTCTTCTGGCTTTATATGTTCTTTTTCCTCCTCATGTGCTCATTCATCTGCGAGTTGAGCATGGTGCCTTTCTTTATTGATATTCGTTTCCCCCAAATACTTTGGGATTATTATTGACTGTTCTTTGTGATTGAGGACCCAGTTCACATCTCTGTGGATCAAATTCTCATTACAGGGCCTCTCTGGGGATCGTGGAAGAAAGGGAAAGAGACCATGTGCCAACAGGTGAGGTGGGCAGGTAGCACATCTTTGAGGGTGGGGTTTCTCGGGAGGACCTACTCTACTTTTCAGACCCCAAAGCCCAGGAGCGTGATGTCAAGAGCTGCTGCTTTCAGCTTGTGAGCATTAGCAACTGCTCTGCAAACACAGGTCTCTTGAGGGGCCAGCCTCTTTGTGGCCCCAGGTCACTCCTGGACCTTTTACCTGTCGATCCTGGAACTGCTCTCACGTCTTCCATAGACCATGCATTGTTGGGGACAGGTTTTCCTCAGATCTTGTTCCTTTGTCAATTGAATCCCTTCTGATTTCTTCCACTTAGAAATTCCTCAGCATTCCTGGTTCATTAATAGCATTCTTCCATGTTTTTTTTTTTTTCCTTCTTAGTACTGTTATGGGTTTATTCTTTTAAGAAATATCTTCTTTTTTTTTTTTTTTTAGGAAAGGAGGGGAGATAGAGTCATGTGCTCAGTCTTATATCTGCATTCAGCTCTGATATTTAAATATGGCACAGGCTTAAGTGTTGCTGTTAAATTGTGGTTTACAGTGGCCTTTGTGTTCTCAAAGTCTACAATCCGAGGTAGGTGGTAATGTCTAACTGATATTTAAAGAGCTATCATTTTGATTTAATACATTTTGAGCAATAATGATACTTGGGCTTGGGTGTGGGGAAAGGATTCTATAGAACTTGGTGAAGGTGGAGCTATCTGATAGAGTGGATCTCTGGATCTCCTGGAGAGAGACCCCAGGGAATGGTAGGGAGTTCACTGCCTCTCCCAGTGCCATATTACGTAGAGTACATGAGCTGGAATGGGCTTTAGAAATCATCTGCTCCAGGGATGGGGTAAATAGTTCTCATCTCCCAGCCCTGGTCCAGATGGTCTAGATGGTCTCCTCCAGCAGCCCAGGAGAGTGAGAAGAACCAAGGGGGCAGAGCAAGGGGGTCATCAGGAGTCCGATGAGGAAGAAGCAGGCTGCGGCATGGACTCCCTCAGTCAGGAGCAGGCTGAGAAACACTCTTCTCCAGCTAGGCCTGAGGCGGTAGCCTTCCGAGAAGGGTGAAGGCTCATGGCTGGCTTAACTGAGGAGGATACTAAGTGCACGAGGGCATGGTAACCAACAGAGCAAATGGCATCGACGTTGGCAGCTGTACTTGTTTGCGAGGGAACCAAGACTCAGAGGAGTTTGGTGTCTTTCCCAAAGCGAATGTGTCACAGGCTTGGCTTTGAGCCAAGGTGCTGTCCAGACCAGGGTGCTGTCAGTATTCGACTTGTGATCCTCTAGTGTTTTCGGGTGGTTGCTGGCAGGTATGTCAGTGACCAGTGGGCCACTCAATGGAAAGTATTACAAATAGCAATGGAATGCCAGCTCTCTAGTCTAGGGAGGGAGACCCAGCATCCGTTCTCTCCCTTCCCACTCCCCTGGAACGGTTCCCTCTCATTCTATGTCCAGACCACAGGGCTGCGTCATGTAGGTGTGTTCGTATGCATCTGTCCTCAGGGACTCACCTGAAGAGAAGCAGCACAGCTTGGGGGAAGGTCTGGAAGTTGTTGTTCCGGTTGATCTCTGTGGTGTCATTCAGGGCAATTTTCCCAAACACCTGAGAAGGGGGAGGGGAGGGAGATTCAGTGAATGGTGGATGGACAGGGTCCTAGTGACCACTCATCGTTCAGTGGTCTCTTCAGGGGTCATGGCTGGCTGTGGGTCAGGCCAGCCCATAGCAGAACTGAGTCCCCTGACGTGACCTGGCAGGGCCTTGTAAGGGTAGGCACCTGCTGCCCCATCCAGCCCTTGATCTCCATCCACCACACTGGACAGGTGGAAGAAGAAAAAACCCATGGACCCTCAGGAGAGGTCCCGATGGGCCACTGGGAGCTGGGCTGAGAGCAGGTGGACGCTCCCACCAGCACCGTGCTTCTGTGTGGGGACAGAGGGCTCTCTGGTCTCCTTCTTCTTCTTTTTTGGCTGCAGATTCTTGAGAATATATATTTTTTCTCTTTAAAAAAACTTTATTGAGGAATAATTAACAAATATAATTGTATATATTTAAAGTGTACAGTGTGGTGGTGATTTGATGTACACGCTCGTAGAATCATTACCAAGACCAAAATAATTAACACATCCATCACCTCACACAGTTAACATAGGGAGCTTTTTTTTGGTGTGGTGAGCCACTTTCAGGTACACAGCACTGTTATCAATTACAGTCATTTTTTTTTCCTCAGAACTCAAGGCTCTGGCCTCCTTTTCATTGCCATTTCAGCCCAGATGCCCACTCTTCCAAATACAGTTCTTGGATTTTGGAGTGATCTGGGACACGGGCAAGCTTAATCTATCCCTGAAATGAGCGGTCCCCTCATTTTTCTGGCCTTTTAGAGCTATGCTTATCTTAGAAGCTGCCACCGTTGGTGAGGGAGCAGGGTAGCTCTTCTCATCTCAGAAGATTTTGGCCTAGGAACCTGGGGTCTTTCTGCAAAGAATAAGCAGGGGAGTCTTCCTTCGGGAGCCACTGAGGAAAAGTCCTGGCTGGTGTGAGTGCGGGGCCCTGGCGCTCTCTGAAGCCCTGAGGAGAGGCTGCTTGCAGAATGCCATGGGGTTTGAAGTAGGGGAAGGTGCAGTGGGCACCTGCGAGGGGAGGCCCTTGAGACTGCTGCACGTTTGATGGGGGGAGCTTGCCTGCCTGACTCCCTCTTTCCCTCCCTCTCTCCTCCATCCCTCTCTGTCATTAGCTTCTCCTGAATGGTGCTGGGGTGGGGGGCAGTTCTCAGGCTGTCGGGCCTGGGTAAGGGGAGGGATGCTGTCTGACACACCCTTCGTGTCGTTTTCTGGAAGGGCTTGCCTCTCCTGAGGCCCTTGGCGTTAATCTGGGAGGGTTTTTCCCGACCGAGAGCAGAGAGCAGGCCGGGGGCAAAGGGGAGGTAAGGTGCGTACAGCACATGGCCATTGACCCTGCTACCTACAGGACACCGTTTGAAGGGATGTTTGAATTCCTGTGACCTTCTTGGCCTCAGAAGTGGAAGCAGAGAGAGGGACCGTCAGGAACAAGAGAGAGGTGTCCGGGAATGTGACGCGGGGCTGGGAGGCGGGAAGAGAAAGAGGCGGCTGAGGTGCGGCGGGCCAGCTGTCCTACCTGCATCCCGATCACCGCGTAGATGAAGAACAGCATCACTATCAGAAGAGCCACGTAGGGCAGGGCCTGGAAGGAAGCACAGGAGACAGGGCGTGAGGCCGGCAGGGGGATGGCTGGCCAGAGCCCTTCCCAGGGCGCGCCGTGGCCTGGCTTTGGGAGGGGCATTTCCAAGAGCCCCACAGAAGTTCTGGGCACCAGGAGAAGGCCTGAACCACGGCACTGACCTCTCATTTTCCCTTGGTTTCAATCACCTGAGAAGCAGTGTGGTGTACCGAGCAAAGCAGGCTGCAGAGTAAGGGGTACATATGGTGGGATACCGCTTGAGTAAAAACAGTCAAGAATGAGCAAATGTCCTCTGACTAGACATAGGTCTTTGCACAGCAAGGAGAAAGCCATGGAGGATACACACCAAGGTTTCCTGGGGAGGCGTGGGTTGGAGGCAGGTTACACCCTTCCTTTACATAGCTTGATGATATCCGGCTAGTCGTAATAAAAATAATCACTAAGGAAAAACTTAAGTAGAAGAAAGGTCATGGACTCAAATCCTATTTCTGCCACTTTCTAGTTATGGGAGGTTGGCCATATGACTTAACCTCCCTGAGCCTCAGTTTCCTTTTCTGAAAAATGAGAAGAAATATAATTACCTCTCAGGGGTTCTCTGGCATTTAAATGCTTTAAGGCTTACAAAAGGCTGAGTGCAATGCCTTCCACGTATTTGGGTCCCATATATTTTATTCACTCTGCCTGGCAGCTCAGACAACTTAAATTTCCGGAGTCCCTGCTGCTTCTCCTGGGGAGAGGCCTTCTGGGGCTCAGGGCCTATTCTGGAAGCCGGAGAGCCACACGGTCAAGACTAGGAAAAGCCTTGCCAGGCGTCCACACACCACTAGATGGCACTGCGAGAGCACACGGATGCTGCTTCTGTCCGGTTGGAGCTGCAGCTCCACATTGAAGCCTCTCCTCACCTGGGTCTCTTGCCTTTTCCTAGGAACTATGTGTGTGTGTGTGTGGCGGGGGGGGGTAGTGAGTTGGCAGCCTATATAGTCATCATGGCTATGGGACCCCATGGGTGCACCCACGGACAGGGTCAGCCCCCAGTCCCGCTCTCCCCCAGAATCCTCAGATTCCCAGGGACTGGGCAGGGTACGGCACCCACCAGTGGGGTAGGGTGGGGTGGGATGGGGCTAGCAGGGAGGGCAGCTGCAGCTCATCAGGAAGGCCTGGTGGGCAGAGGACTGGCTATGGGGAGTGCAGCCAGGCTGGTCCAGTGAAGGGCCTGGGCGGATGAGGCCCAGGGCAGGAGGCTGCCTGGAACGGTGTTTATGTAAGCCTTCGGGAGGGGATTCCAGAGCAAGGCAGGCACCTGACCACAGAGCCCTTCCTCTGGCTGCAACTTCAGTTCTGAGCACATTTGGATCAGGGACCCACTCCGTGCCTGTCCCTAGGCCCAGACTGGCTAGAGCTGGGGACAAGGAAGGAATCCTTCAGTGCCCAGAAGCCTGAGAGTGGTGTTTCTGCGGGTGGGATGAAGCTGCCGTCAGTGTCGGGCTAAGGAAGCGTGGAAGTACATGCAGGGGTCTCTACACCACTCATCTTCAAGGAATTCAAGGGACCTCACAGGTTTGCTTCTCTTTAACTTCAAACTTACATAACACTCCTCAGAGATGGCCAGGGGCGATCATTATTCTGCTTTCACAGATGGAAAATAATGGCTGAGAAAAGAGAATTAATCCTATAGTTAGGCAACCCTGTGCCCCTGTGAGGGGGCCGTGTCTCCTTGAGTGGAGTGACACCAGGGTCCTGGAGAGTTTGGCTAGGTCTACAAACAGGTGTGGACAGCAGACATTGCAGAAATGCCTACTGGGAGGAAGGTGACAGCCGGATCCTAAAACTGCCCAAAGTGGGAGGGCCACTGAGGTTATCAGATCATCTGGGCCCATGTTTTTCAAAAATTTTCCACCACAAAACCTCTTTGTGCAGTAAATTCTTGCGGAAAAATGCACGGATGAGAGAAGAAAGCAGAACCACTTCAGCCTCCCCCTTAGCTCCCAGCCTTTTGTACCCCGACTTTGGGGAAATTTGGGGCTCCAGGAGAATGCTTTTGAAAACCACGGATGGAGTCCGAGGGCCTCATTATAGACCGGAGGAAAGCAAGGGCAGAGAGGGAGGCTGAGTAGCAAGGTAAGCCCGCCCTCGGCTCCCGGTGGTGGGCTTCCTGTGCTGCCTCACCTCCCTGCTCAGGGAGCCCAGGTGAGCTGCGGAGGCTCTCCTTGCAGCCTGCTGAGGGTGGAGGTGGTTACCTGGAAGGACTTGATGAAGGTCCACAGCAGGGTCCGAATGCCCTCCCCGCGGCTCAGCAGCTTGACCAGGCGCATGACCCGGAAGAGGCGGAAGAAGGTGATGGAGATGCGGGAGTTCTCCTCTGCGTTCTGGAATCCATCGGCAATAGGAGGTGGTAGTTAACACAGCAACAGAGAGGGGCAGGGCAAGAACGAGGTGGGCCCTGCTCTGAGCAACAGAGCCCTTGCTTGGGGTGGAGGCAGGGCAGGGCAGGGCAGGGTTAGCTGCACCAGCTTCTCTCCCCTGGGCCACAGATGGGGAGGCCCGCTGCCCACCTCTTCCAGGGAGACAACCCAGGCCGGAGGTCTATGCAGAGCCAAGCTGTGCCCAGGCCCTGGAGCCCATAACCCTGTTTATCTGTGCTCCCCTTTTCTCCTTCAGTCCTAGTTCTTAACCCCCTGGGTGGAGCAACAGAAGATTCCATAAGGAACTTCCATATGCTTTGAAATCGAGGCTGAGAGCTAGCTGCCTTGGGCGCACCCTCCTCTGCTGCATGCTGAGGAAGCAGCCCCAGGCCCCCTCTTGTCTGGCCTGGCGGGGTGCCATGCATCCCGAATGGGATCTGGCTCTCAGCAAGGTGGCTGGGCGGGTCGTGGCCTCCGTCCCAGCCCCAGGTATGATTGCACTGGGGGTCCTGGTGGGCAGGGTGGGCTGACAGAGACTAGGGTTGGAGTGGGTTGCCAACCGCAGGGATCTTGTGCCCTGGCAGCTCAGGACTCCAAAAGTCTTGCTGTGCCACCTCTTCCCACATGGCTACAGGGACGGTGGGGATGGGGGCATTGCTTAGCCTGCGGAGAGTGTCTGTTTGCAGCCCTGGCCTCACCTCAGACACTGAAGCTATTCCCCTGCTAGTCCCCCGCCCCCTCCAGCTCTGGGGCCTCTGGGAGGCCCCGACCCTCTCCAGGCTGCAGGAGACCCCAGAAGGTGTGAGAGGCACACTCTAAGTGAGCCCTAGATGAGTCTGGGCCCCGGTGTAGGAGGACAGAGGGGTTCTGCTTAGGGCAGATCATGTCCTCAGGGGAGTCCTGGAGCAAGGGGGAAGCAAGGGGAAGGTGAGGAAGAACCGGATCCAAGCCAAGCCAAGTGGAGGCAGGAACACGGTGCTAGGGCCGCTGGGGTCTGCTGGCTGAGGGCCCTCCTCAGCCTGTGGGACCTGGAGGGGCCTGGGGCTGGGGCACATGCCTGGCCAGGGCTCAGGGGCAGGACAGGCTGCCCTGTCACCCTCCGCCTCCAGACCTGAGCACAACACGGACTGACCGCCCCTCCCCCCGCCCCTCCTCCTGCCCACGCTGGCTAGAGAGCCCGTGGCAGTAGCCCCTGGGGAGCCACCTGCCTGTCCCCTGGAGCTAGTGCAGCTCACCCAGCCCTGTTGGCACCAGGAGAGAGTGGACCTTTGGGCTTCCTGTTACTGTCCCTGTTGCGTGCATCCCTCAAGGGAGGGGGGTTCTCCAGGTCACTGGCGGGGAGAATCTGTGCTGGCCCCCCACTTCTTGATTCTCTGCTTTCTTTTGAATCATTTACAGGCCAATCCTCCCTGACAACGTCCACACCTTGTTTGCACCCCTGAAAATCCCCCTAGTGCTGATGCCCCCGAGGGCTCCCACCGGCCCTTCGTTCTAACCCGGTGGCCTGCTGACTGTCCCTGACATGGCCAGTGGTTCCTGAGGCCACCCATCTCACTCCTGCTCTGCACGGGAGACCCACGAGGGCAGCGGAAAACTCCAGAGGCAGTTGCCACTTGCCAGCACAACCTCGCTCTGCCCTGGGAGGGCTGCGCAGAAACCATGCCGGAAGGGGCTCTCCTACTTCTCCGAATCTCCAGACTTGGGGAGAGTCACAGTATTTCTTCTAGTTTCTAACCAGAGCTGCCTTAGATCCGCACAGGGGGCCTGCTCCGCAGGCTGCCACGGGGCTGGGGAGGGAAGGCCAGCCGCAGCCCCCGTCCTGTGCCTGGACCCTACCCTGCCTGCCTATTTTGAAGCCTCTGATGCCCTTAATCTCTGCATTTCTATCACCCGTGTATCTACTTGAAATTCTATTTTCTCTCCTTAAAAGGAGGTTGTGTTCCCCCAGAGGAGTAGGCAGAGGAGGCTCGGGGTTTTATAACTCAGCTGTCAGTTCCACCATGTTCGGGAAAGGAGAAAAAAGAAGAAAGAAGGAGCTAAAGCGGGGAACTTCAGCTGTGAGTGTCAGGAGTGTGAGAAGTTGGTGCCACAGGGGCATCTCGATTTGATGAGTTAAAAAATAAAAGTCAAGCGTATGGTTTGAATTCCATGCTGGGTTCAACCCCGCCCCCTGTAGGCACGCTCCCCCCAGTGGCTGCAGTTTCCTAACGCTCTAGAAGGAGGATAAACACACTTCCTCGTAGACACAAAAATGTCCTCTAATAAACCAAATGACAATGCAGTGGAACAGCAGACCCCAGTGGCGGCCCCTGGGAAGCGGGGTACAACGTCCAGGTTCAGCCTTTTCCTGGGCGGCCTTCCAGCCAGCCTGGGACGCGCTGTGTTAGGAAGCACCAGCCGCCGACCCAGTCTTGCCCCCAGTCTGCTGACTTTCAGGGACTCAACCCCCTCACGGGTCCTTTTAAAAACTCACACTCGGCTCACTTTTGAAACGTGTGATGGCAGCTTTTTAGAGAAGCCTGTTCCAAGGAGACTTCAAGGTCATGCCTAGCGGCATCTCTCACTTTAGCCAAAGGAATCACAGTCCTACATCAGGAGTGCTCCCATCAAACCCCTGAGTTTGTTTTTCTGCATAGCCTAATTTGAATGAACTTCGGGAATTTAGAAAAATTCATGGGTCACTTTGTTGGAGTGACTGGATATTCAGCCACACTCTTAGTAACAGATTCCAGCTTACAACCGTCTACTGCGGCCTTAAACTCAGAGCACACGGGAGGCCAGTGGTTACAGACCCTGGATGATTAGTGGGAAGACATTGTCTGACTTTCTGTCTCCGGGTTGGGTCATCCCACTCTCCTTCCTTTTTTCTCAGGAGGCCCTTACCAGGGTGCTCATGGGCGCCGTGTGCAAACTCCCCACATCGGATTAAAGCTAGAGACTTTAGCCCGTGGAGTCCTCAGAATGTTTAACAGGAAATGGCCCTTGGGTCCAGTTCTCTCCCGGTGGCTCATTAGATGGTCAAGATCACAGTGAATTATCACCCAGAGAAAAGCTCAGGGAGGGAATGGAACACCATTACACAACAGCACGTCACAGCTCACACGCGACCGGGCAGGCGAGGCGCAGGACAGACACGGTGGCTACATGCAGCGGGAGCAAGGCTGGGCTCCCAGAGATGCTGGACACCGGGGTGGGGGGGTGAGAGTGGGGGTGTTAGAGAAGGGTCACAGAAGCTAAGAGCGTGGTCTGGAGGGTCGGTCTTACCATAAAGGGAGAGCATTGGGTATGTTCAGCTGGCTTTAAAGAAAGGCAGATAGAAATAAGCTGTAATGAGTCTCCAACGAAGATGGCTGGTACTCTAGGTCTTGGCTAACACAGGAGCAACACCGTGGCAGGAGAGGGCAAAAGGAAACAAGTGAAAGAAATACAAAGCACAGGCCTGGCAGGGACAGGGACATCACCATGAGCGTGGGCTCTGCACAGGTAAGTCTCACGTCTAGGGAGGACCCGAAGGCATTCCCCACTCAGGACCATCTCTGGCCACAAACGAAATAATTCACACACTTGTTACACACGAGGTCTTTTGAATTTTGTGGAGGGAGGTTTGGTTTTGTTTTCTAAAATGAGTTATGTGTTCTATGATAACCTTTGAGGGCTTGTACTTTCTGCACTTTAGCTCACCCTGGGCATTGCCAGCTGGAGGAGAAAGACTTTGCTTATGCCCTAGTGCATGTCCCTGTTTGAGCAAAGGAGGTCAAGGGAATTGCCCTTGAAGTTTAGGGGAAAACTCAGTTTTAGTTATCACTAAAGGAGGATCTAAAGAGGTGGTCCGCAAGCCCCTCTGCAGCGGGGCTAGTCCTCAAGCTTAGGTTCAGGCAGAGATGGCCCGGCTTAGCTACTAGTCTATAGGTGTGGAGAGGCTTGGCCATCGGTGTGAAATAATACTTTTGACATTTTAAAGCTCTGCACACGATTTAGGATATTATTATTAACACCCAAAATAGCTGCTCTCATGGGTCTGACAGCTGAGTTCATTTTGGGGCAGGAGCTGAAGAAACTGGCCACCGGTGAGTACCCCACGGCAACCTCCAGTTCCTTGAGCTCGTATCTGGGAAGATGCCCCTACTCTTTGGGCCCCAGCACTCAGAGCTCAGCCCCTGACTGGTCCTGATCATTTGAGCTGTTAACTCTTTCTAGAAGATCATGACATTGCTTTTACCCTCCACTTTCAGATGGTTGCTCTTGTGTTTCTGTTTTTAAGGTACAAACAAGGAAAACGTGTAATGGAAGTTTTGAAGGATGGAAATGTGCACAACTAGACATTTGCTTGCAGACTGAAAATACTTCTTTGGTAACAGATTTCTCAGCAAATTCCTTTTTCCCTACAGCAAACTGGTAAAATGTCCTTTTTCAGGAATGATGGAGATAAACGGTGAGGCAAGGGAAAAGAAGGGAAGGGACACCTCTCTAGTCCCTTACAGAGCACATTCTAGATCTTGGTGGAACAAGAGGTGGAACATTTTCAGAAAGAGTCCTGGCTAGTGGTTCTAGCTAACAGGCTAAGGACAGATAGAAAGGAAAACCCAATCACCTTACTTCAGGAGGAATACCAGCTGCTAGGTCAGTCCACAGGCCTGGAGGCTGTGGGGTCACTAGAATTTGGCTAGCAGGCTGAGATAGAACATAGAAACACACATGCGTGCACACACACATACACACATACACATACACACACACGGAAGACATCTCTAACCACTTGAGTGCTTGTCCTTGCGTGTTAATGGCTGAGTTCTGTGTTTCTAGAGCTTCAGTGGGGAGGGAGTGTGAGGGTCAGATGGAGGTAAACCTACACTACATGCAATGCCAGGGCATCAGATAGAGTTCCCAGCAGGCGCGGGCTATTGTTCTCCTCTTGGATCCATCCTGAAAACTGCCAAAGCTGCCCATCACTCCTAAGAACCCTGGGCAACTGTTTGAAAGTCCTCTGGGTCAATCCCGTCCTGAATGGGACAGAACGGAGACAATTTAGAGAACCTGCCTGGGTTTGTATATTCTAATCACCTTGATTGTATCTTATTATTTTAATAATATGTATTAATAATCCTTAGGATACATCTCTATGGTAGGAGTCAAGAAACAAAAGGAGCAACGAGGGCAGTAGGGAGAGGAAGGATGGGGCTCTCTGGGACTCCCTATGTTGAGTTCTCAGCCCAGGTAACGATAGCTTTCCTAAGAGTCTCACTTTGGGAGAATCTGGAGAATCACAGATTAATTTTTTTCTTGGACCTTAAGCTATGCTATTCAGAGGGCACTTTTGACCTGCTAGAGCAGTATTTGTCGATGTCTCATATAGGCCTGTCCATATCTGAAGAACTATGTTCATAAGATCCATGGTCTCAAAAATAACTAACCATTTATAATAAAATCAGAAAGCAATCATTGGGTGATTTCTAAGTGGAAACAATAGGAAGAAGCCTAACATACAGCCCTCACCCTCAGAGAGCCCAGTTTACTGACATACAGCCAACCCCCTAAGGACATTTCCTGGATAATCTTGCATAGTCATTCCAGTCTTTGGTACCCTGCCCGGCTGCAAGTAGAATCCCTTGGTGACCTAGAAGGGGAGACTGGACCTGCTGGGTTTGGGCATCTGCACCTTTAGCCCAGAGCCATGTTTGTGCGTTTGCTACTCTCTGTTTCCCTGGTACCGTGTCTTGAAAGACCACCTAGCACTGGTTCTACTTTTTGACCTAAATTCAGAATTGGTTGGTAGCCTGGAGTACTTACACCATCCATCTCTGACCCTTTCCCAGATTTCTTCCCAGTTCCCCTGAGGTAGCTTATAGTTTCCCTATCTGTGGTCTTCCTGGGGAAGGAGGGCGGAAAGATTCCCTGACGACTCATGCCCTAGGAGCCTGGAGACCCTACCTGTACTACCCTTCGAGAGGGAGCCAACAGAGCTGCTTACCTACTCCGAACATTCTGGCTGAGCTTTCATACGGCGTTCTCGCCAGTAATGGTAGGCACTGAGCAGCCAATGATTTCATCTTTGTGTTCTAAAGATCTGGTAATTTTCAAGGGGTTTAAAGATATTGGGCACTTAATTTGTTCATGCAATTGTATAAATGAAATGTGATTATTCCATAGGTGAGGCAGAGGTGGAACATTTTCAGAAAGAGTCCTGGCTAGTGGTTCTAGCTAACAGGCTAAGGACAGATAGAAAGGAAAACCCAATCACCTTACTTCAGTGTACTTATGCAGATTACCTAGATTTGGTATGACTGGCAATGACAACATGAGCTGCACTGGGCAGCAAATAGGAGATACTCTCTGGAAAACTGTCTTTCTGAATTAAGTGCAGGATCAAGTGAGAAGTTATCACCTCAGTGGATGAAGTCTTAGTTTCTGGAATGTCCTCACTCCTCCTTTTCATTGAGGGACCATCTTTAGACCATGCATAAGACACTGAAGGATGAAGCTCAGGGAGTACCAGAGGCTGGTGAAGAGAGGATTCTTCTAGATGGAGGGGATTCTTCCAGTTATTAACATTACATAGTCTCCCTGGAGAACTAAAAGGTTGTTGAAAAGTAGCTCTTAACCATATAAAAAGGAGACTTTCCTTTCCTTTCCTCTCCTTTCCTTTCTTTCGCTCTTTCTTTTCTTTTCTTTCTTTTTTTTTTTTTAACACTGCCAGGAGACAAGGATTACTAGGGATTAAAGGCTAGGTAGTAGATATCTAGGCTGTAATACCCAACCAAGCTGTCTTCCAGAATATTCTCTCAAGATCAGGCCATTGTAGAGCATTTTGAAGAGATCATATGCCACTGCTGCACCCTCCTGGACATGCTGACTTTGAAAGGTGCAGATTACCTTCTGATTCCCTCTAGGGAAGGCTGGCTCTTGGCTAAGTCATGGACAGGCCCCACAGAACAGGTCTGCACAATCCATTGGTACCATTGAGACAATGGCCATAATATCAGAGTCGCTGAAATTCTACATTCCTTGGAAACAGGAGTCAAAGGCAATGTCACAGGAGCATGTAAGTCTTTTACTAGCTGCCCTGCTACAGAAATGTTGCTTTTTTTTTTTTTTTTAAGTACTCTTGTCCAGAACTTAGGGGGTAGATCTAATATAAATTCCATTTTAGACCCCCTGAAGATCTGGGTCCAGCTGGCATCCCTCCCCACTCCCCAAGCTCTGCTCTGCTTCTCTGTATTCACTGTCTCTAATCTTATCTCAATTTGATCTGCAAGATAGGATGGCTGGTTCAGTTGCAAGAGTGTCATGGGATGTGGAAGGCTGAGGGGTTGGGGTTTTGTTGGTGAGACTCTAGGTATCTAAGTTGGGAGGACAATTATCAGGCTGGTACACACAGAAGGAGGCGGGAGTCAGGGGCTTCTAGAGACATTTGACACCACCTTCATGGTCAGGAGCCAGCAAGTGTAAGTTAAGGTGGGGAGGTCTTCAATATCCTTTTATCTCCTCTTCCACCTAGGAACTAAACTGTGGCCCTATAGATGTAGAGGAGGTGGGAGATGCTGAATCTTAGAGCCACCAGAGATGGCAGCATGGGAGGGAATTTTAAGGAGGCCAAAGTAAAATATGTTTTAAAAACTGTAAACCCTCTGAAGTTGCATGAAGAACTTTTTTGCTAGGGAGATGCAGGGCTTAAATAAGCACAAGTCAACTGGGATGTATAGAAGCTGAGGGTAGATGTCAATGGTTTTCAGATTTAAGGGCAAATGAAGGGAATATGGGTAGCTGAAAGCAGTTGCTAGACAGAATTTCCATTTTGGTCTGTGGAGGAGGTCTATGGTCTTTGGAGATGGATCTATGGAGGAAGGGTGCTAAGGAAAAGGAAAGAAGGGGGGATTACAAGGGAGGCAAAAACACTGCACAGAAAAGGGCAGAGAAAAATGAAAGAAAGCCCAAAGATGAGGCGGTGGAAAGTGGAAAGAGCAGCCCCTGTTCTCCTTGTCCACCTGTCCACCATGTTGGAAACCTTCTGGCTTGCATCTGTTTCCCATAGTAAAATTCTAGCCAGAAGGAGAAGGGCCCTTCTTGAATCTTTGTGGTTATAGACACACAGTTGAAATGCTTCTTTGGAACTTCCTTTAAGGGGGTCTTTGGCCCAAGGGCACTGGTGGAGAGGTACAGAGCATGGACAATGCTGGTTCCTGGCTCACTCTTGCTCTTCCGGTCTCTGTGTGTTCGACTGCAGAAGGTGGACAGTGGTGACCGCTGTATTATTAGCTGCACAGTGGCTGGTTCATGCGGCTGCAAGTAGCTTAAGCCTC